TTGCCCCCCCCCTTCACTCTGCCATGGAGAGTGGAGATAATGGGTGGGGTGGGGGTTTCAGGGGAACAGACCTGTCCTGCCACAGCCTACCAGCTCTGCAAAGTTTCCTGGAGCCACAATTAGTTGCTGACCTGGGTTGTAAACAAAGCAGAGTTTAAAATGACCTCCGGGCTTGTTATCCTGAGCTACCGGATAAAGTAAAGGTTAGGTAGCAGCTGAGGGGATGTACCTGCTGTTTCTCTGACTTTCATTCTAACTAGGGGAGTCAAACCCCCCCTAGTTATGCTTTCTCTCATTCTGTCTCTGGTATTTAAGATTCACATTCTTGACTTTCTCTCCTTCCCCAGTCCTGTCTCCTATGTGCAATCCAAGATTATTAAAAGGTAAAGGGACCCCTGACCTTTAGGTCCAGTTGTGGATGACTCTGGGGTTGCGGTGCTCATCCCACTCTACTGGCCAAGGGAGCCGGCATACAGCTTCCGGGTCATGTAGCCAGCATGACTAAGCCACTTCTGGTGAACCAGAGCAGCGCATGGAAGTGCCGTTTACCTTCCCGCCGGAGCGCTACCTATTTATCTACTTGCACTTTGATGTGCTTTCCAACTGCTAGGTTGGCAGGAGCTGGGACCGAGCGACGGGAGCTCACCCTGTCGCGGGGATTTGAACCGCTGATCTTCTGATCGGCAAGTTCTAGGCTCAGTGGTTTAACCCACAGCGCCACCTGCGTCCCCCTAGAACCTTCTTAATTTCCTTAGTGTTATGCATATGCCAGTGCTGAGCCATGGAAGTATCTTGTCATCTTCTCGGATAACAGAAAGTGGCAGTAGCTTTGCTGCAGGAGAAATGATCTCCCTGGGTAGTCACAGGAGCAGTGCATTGCATGCAGAAGGTTCCCAAAATCTCTAGGTGGGGCAGGGAGATATCTCCTGCTTGTAACCCCAGAGAGCCATAGCCAGTCAGTGCACACAGTACTGAGCTAGATGGAGCAGTGTTCTGATTTTGTGTAAGGCAGAACATGCTCCTGTTCTCATGTCAACAACCCTGCCAAAGCCCCCATCCCTGATCGCATATGTCTTTTCTCTGTATGCTGGACTGATCTATTTTGCAGCAGTCTGTCCCGCACTTATTACAAACCAAGAGGGTTTATTGTCCTTTGGGATAAAGACATGCTAGAAAACATTATTAAGAATCATGAGAGTTGGGAGGAACCTTGAAGATAAACTCATCCAGCTTTCTGCTTGATGCAGGACCTGCAACAGACAGCTCTCCAGCAAAAAAAAGTGTTCTGAGGCTGTCTGTTCCACAGCCACAAAGCTCTTACTGCTAAGGTAGATTCTCTTACCACTAAATTGAAAACTGCTTCCTTGCTGTTTGCACACACTGGCTTTCGTCGTGCCGTCTGGAGCGACAGCAAACGAGACTGTTCTGCCTTCTGCTTTATGACCAATTGATCAGCAGTTCCAAATGAGCTTCATTGGTGTGGAAAATTTTGGTTTGATTTAATATTTATATACCGCTTTTGAAACAATGAAGCAGAGCCCAAAGTGGTGGCTCACAGGAGTAACCAAAGCATTAAACATCAACAAACATTACAGTCATGATAATCCCGTTGAAACCATATAAATAAGGCAAGAAACAAACAAAATCATCAAACAATTTGGTTAGCTCTGTGTTTGTTTATTTTTATTTAAACCATTTTTATACTTCCTTTTGCCAAAAACGATTCTGGGGTGCTTTGCAAGTTTCAAATGTTACAAATACTGACAACCCTCTTACAAAAATAAGAAAGAGAGAAAAGAACAGCAGAGAAAAGAGCAGTTTAAGATTGTGGAGCTGCAGTTGCACCCAAGTTGGACTCACTATATGTTGCGCCAAAACATAACTGGAGTCTGTTGACTCTGGCAGAGGCGTCATTGGAGGTGAGTGATGGGCATCCTTGCTTGACTTTAAAAATAAGGTTCTACTTTAAAATGCTGGACATGATTTGCAAGTAACACTCTCTCAGCGAGCTATGGCTTAGCATGAACAAGCAAGAATGCTGCAGAAATAGTAGCTGCTTTGTTCCTTCCCTGTTCCAGGACCTATGCCATGGTTTGGTTTAGCATTATGTGTCTTGTGGTTTGTCTCACTCTAGACAAAGTCCAGGGGAGTCAAACCACCAGCTCTGGTTCAGTAGGGCCATTAAACCAAATTTTAGCTTGACTCCTGGTAGCACAGTTGTAGCAAATATGGTTCTCTTATTGTGTGATTTCTTGTGTGTGCCTATGCGCATGACACAGGTTCCCTGGTTTACAGGTTACCAAGTGGTCTAAACCACTGAGTCTCTTGGGCTTGCTGATCAGAAGGTCAGTGGTTTGAATCTCTGCAATGGGGTGAGCCGGTTGCTCTGTCCCAGCTCCTGCCAACCTAGCAGTTCAAAAGCACGCCAGTGCAAGTAGATAAATAGGTACTGCTGTGATGGGAAGGTAAACGGCGTTTCCGTGTGCTCTGGCTTACGTCACGGTGTTCCATTGCGCCAGAAGCGGTTTAGTCATGCTGGCCACATGACCTGGAAAGCAGTCTGCGGACAAATGCCGGCTCCCTTGGCCTGAAAGCGAGATGAGCGCCGCAACCCCGTAGTCGCCTTTGTCTGGACTTAACCATCCAGGGGTCCTTTACCTTTTACCTGTACCTTTATACAACAGGTGTAAGGCACTTTTGTCTCTCCAAATGCTGCTGAACTGCAACCCATCATCCCTGGCCATTAGCCCTGCTTGCTGGAGCTGACGGGCGCATTTATTAATTTACTCCCTAATTACATTTATATCCTGCCCTTTCTGCCAAGGGAGCCCTGAGCGTTGTCGTTCAGCAACTTCTAGAGGCCAAAGGTTCCCCATACCCAATAGACCGTTTCAACCCTCCAATGGAAAAAAAGGGAAAAAGCATCAAATACTCAGCTGCTGGGTAATGCTGCATGTGAAGCAATATAGAGGCTGTGGCAGAGCCTGCTTTGAGTTGCTGTCCAGAGCATAAGTGGCTGCCTGAAAGGGCCATTGAGAGAGAACAGAGGGTTCAGTTCTCATTTGCTGTCTCTGTAGGGTCACTGCTGAGAGAGACAGTTGCACCTGCAAGCAGTTTGATTGAGCCCTTGACACTGACCGTAGGGGCGCCAGCCACTCCTGCAAGGAACCCGGAGCTTATTAGCATCTGTTGCTCTGCTCCAACCTGCAGCCCCTTTGCCTTGCCTGGGCTTCTCCCTTTAGCTCTTCTGATTTATTGTTAAAGCAGAAGAAATTGTTAGGCAAATGAAATCAGTGCTAAACACTGTTCCATGTACTGGACGTGACTCGTCTTGGCATAGAAACCAGAGTTTGCAGCACTCTGGTGTCAAGCCAGATCTGTGTTAACCAAGCCATGTTAGCAAATTGTGTTAACCAAGCCATGTTAGCAAATTGCTTTTAGCTCGCTTGGCGTAAAGCGCTGATCTTCGCCCTCTGTTCTTGGATTTGGGTTTTAGATGGAAGCAGGAAGCAAATGAGGGTGCGGATAAATCTCTTGCAAGTGTTTGACAGTCAAGGCTGCTTCGGGTTGTTGTTTTTTAATATTGTGATAAAGGGGTTTTCTTTCCTTTTTTTGCAAGGCAAACAAAAGCCATTTCCTCTCCCATGTGACTGCGATGGCTGACCTGGATTATTCCAGATTCAATTAGAAAGACACCAAGAGGGATGTCCATATTTAAGATGTAAGAAAGAGATTACAGGGTAAGGATGGGGAAGAAATTTGATTCAGTCCACATTTAAAGGTAAACCTTTCATAACTCACATTTGCTGAGACGCTCTGCAAATGGAAACACAGCCATCCTTCGACATTTGGACTTCTCCAGATTTTGCAATGCAATTCTCCACTCAAGTTGCATGGACAAAAATGCATATAGCAGTGCAAATGACAAACAAGAATGCATTATAATAGAAATAGAAATATCAGTGGAAATATTGCTTTGCAAAATGTGTACATTGTGCACATTAGCATGCAAAAATACGTGTCTTGGGATAAATTCTTGCTAAGATGCTGATGAATTTCTGTGAGGTCTTAAAAAAGAAAGCAAATGCGGAGAATTGAACTTAAGATTGGAAAAAGGAGAAACAGATCTGCCCAGCTCTGTAAGGCTGTAATATATTCCCTTAGCCAAGAGCAAGTGCTATTAGACTTCTGGATAGACATTTCTAGCATCACACTGCAAGGCTGCTATTCCTCTTAAGTAGCAAAATAGTAAGCTGCCTTATACTGAGTCAGACCCTTAGTCCATCTGTATGACGTACACTGACTGTGCTGGTCCCGTGGGTTACCCGAGAGGTGAGGTCCAAGTCCGATCCATGGTCAAAGGTGCAACATGGAGGCAGTCCAGTAGCTGAAGCTGGGTGCAGGGCAGGGAGTCGGGTGAAGTCAGGAACAGGCATACAAGCAGGGAGCCAAGGTGGGTCAGGAGCTCTGGCAGAAAAGCAGGACAGGGTTCAGGCAGGAACTGGCAACCTACAAAGTTGCTCCCGCAACTCGGGACTGGGGCTGGCTGGCTTTTATCTGCCCCGAGGCATAGGGCAGCCTCGATCCTCTAGTGACTCGCCCTTCCTGGCCTGGAGGCGAGCACTCCTCCTGTGGGAACTTAGTTCCCTCCGCCTCTCTGCCCTGAGCCTCTGCAGCTCTGGAAAGGCTGGAGGGTTACCGGACCAAGAGGCAACCTCAGCTTCCTCTGATGGGGCTGAGGGTGGAGCACCTGCAGGCAATGGGTCCTCCATCACCTCAGGAGCCAGAGCAGACTCAGCTGGTGCCTGCACCTGAGGATCCAGCACAGGTGAGGACCCTTCAGGCTCAAACCCCAGCCCTGGCTCAGCTGGTTCTGGAGGCGGGGAATCCTGTGCAGGCTGGGATTCCTCAGGTTCAGCATCCAAGTCTGAATCCCAGGCCATCACACTGACTGCAGTGGCTCTTCAGGGTTTCAGACAAAAGTCTTTCTCAGTCCTACCTGGAGATGCCAGAGACTGAACCTGGGGCCTTCTGCATTCAAGGCAGATGTTCTACATCTGAGCTAGGGCCCTTCCCCAATGTCAGGTTTTGGGGAATTGGCTTTCTCCCCCGTGGCGGTAGATAAGCAGAACAAAGGAAAAGGAGTCTTCTTGCCAGTTAGGAACTTTAATAATCACAGCACAAGAACAAAGAACACATCTCCTAGAAATGGCGGTGCTACCAATTAAGTTCACTCCTCCCTCCGTCCCTATTAATCTATATCACTCCTACAACTTGTAAACTGAGCTTGGAGCCTCTGTGTTTTCTACTCTGCCACTTTCTGAGCTGTCTGGGACTTTGGAGAAGGGGGGTGGATATTATCCAGAGACTGTGAATCTGTTAACCCTCTCCCTTCCAGTGTTTCTTCTCCTAGCTGTTCCCCATCCAGTATTTCCCAGCTTCTGCCTTCTGAGCTATGCCCCTCGGCAAACCACTGTTCCAAATCTATCCTGTCCTCCTCGTCCTGGGAAGATTCAGGATTGGGATCAAGAGGAGGGGGTGGCTCCCACCATTCTTCCCCAGTGCAGCCCTCCTCAGCACGGTCCCTGAGACCCAAGATGCATGTGGGGTAGCTTAACAAACCTGGCCTTCATACTGGGATATGTGACTCCCTGCCTGTGAATAAGCTCCACTGAACACAGACAGACTTAGCTTTTGACTTGCTCAGGATTTGCTCTGTGAATTTGTTTAGAGACTAGAGTGGACATTTTTTTAAAAAAAGAAAGCAAAGAGCCGAAGGCTAAACTCTCTTTCACCCCACGATGACACAGCTAGTGGTACTACAGATGCATCTTTATGCTTCACCTATGTGCCTAACCCTGGAGTGCATGTGATAAAAATGGATGTATCGTAGCTCTGAGCATACATTTATGTATGAACCCAATGTGTTAAGGGAGCTAAGACCCTGTGTCATTTGGTATTTTTCAGCTGGCGTGAATGTGGAAAAGGCTTCTCTCTCTCTCTTTTTTAGCTGATCAGTGAGTCAGATGGTATCTCTGCCTCCGACACTGGCTGGCGATCCTTTCTGAGTCTCCCTTTCAAGGGTTCAGGGAACGATCAGAGCCTCTCACTTGCAGGGTTCAGGTTCAATCCCTGGCCTCTCTGAGTAGGGCTGGAAATACCCCCATTCTGAAACCCTGGGATGTTTCTGCCAGCCATAATAGACAGTACAGTCACTTCAGGTTGTGTTTTTTTGGGTTATGCACCCACCAAAACCTGGAAGTACCGGAACTGGTTACTTCCAGGTTTTGGCGGTCGCGCATGCGCAGAAGCGCTAAATCAAGTTTTGCACATGCTCAGAAGCACCAAATCTCAACCTGCGTGTGCGCAGACGTGCCACTATGGGTTGCAAACGCTGCGGGTTGCGAACATGCAGCCCTCATGGATCACGTTCGTAACCCGAGCGTCCACTGTACTGAGCTATACCAAGGGGTTTGGTTCAGTATGAGGAAATCTCGAGGGGGAAAACTTACTGAAAATGGGTATTGCATTGAGTTCTGGCTAGCAGGGATGAGAAAACGTAAAAGTGATTCTGAACGTTGACGAACGTTTCTTGTAAAGTAATTGTAAAAATTATTTGTTAGTATTATGGAGCTGGAGATCACTGGTGGCGCATCTGCCTTGCACACAAAGAGTTCAAAGTTCAGTCCCTGCCATCTCTAGATGGGGCTGGGAGAGATTCCCTGCTTGAAATCCTAAAGAGCCAAAGCGTGCCATTTTATGTAATGTTAGCTGTACACCTGTAGAAATTCAGTGTGGTGCCTTCCATGATTCTAGATTCAGGTAGAACATGGCTACCTACCTGAACCTGTAGAAATTGTTTTATTACTTTTAGGTAATTGAGTCTGCAGCTTTTGTATTTTATCTTATCTTTTTGTACACTACTTTGGTAGCTTTTAGCTGTAAAGGAGTTTCTAAATCTGCAAAATAAATAAGAGACATCAAAAATCTTCTTTGCACTGGCAGGAGGCTCTTTGTTGTAGCAGAGACCTCTGTCAGCAGAATGGGAAGGAAGCAGCGACAGACAAATCTGTCTAGTTTGATTTCTCTCACTTTCTTATTTTTCCAACTCAAAGTTTAGTTTGCCCTGTTTCAATGTCAAACTGCATATTTTTCTTTTCATAAATGGTTCACTCAAAAATTTGAATGCACTCTCATGCCCATGGCTCCTAAGATGTGCATTTTTCTACACAATTTTACCCAATTGCACATGACTGCATGCAAACCTGGACGTGACCCAAAAACATCACCAGAATCTAACCAAAAGGGTGGAATGGCAGCAGGGCAGGACGGAATGCTTTATGTGGGCCCCACCGATGTGCATGGGCGTCCAGAACATACCGTAACCCTTGTGCAAAACAAATATTGCCTGTAGTCTCCCAATTTTAGTGGACACATGAAACCAAACTGCATGTTGGAAATGTGACAGTCATAATACAGTATTTTTCAACCCCAAATATCACACCATATTCTTTGTGATTGGCTATTTTTGCATGGTCTGCTTACTAAAGGTGAGAAGCATTCTCCACGCATGTTCCTTGCAAATGGGACTCTTTAATTTCCTACAGAAAGTGAAGCGTTGGCAGAGTTAATGTCTTATCACTAATATATGCACACTTTACCTTAGTCCATGTCTGCACATGTGACTTTGCTTGAGAACTGGACTGCAAAATTAGGAGGCATGAGATGATGGCAGTGTTTCACTTCGTGCATTGTTTTGGAAAGTACAAGTTAGATAGATTTGCCTTCAGATGCAAACTGAATTCAATTTCTTTCTTACCCCTGATGCACTGCAGGACAGAGCCAAAGCTCAGTGATGGAGGCATTGGACAAAGAGTCTGATGTGGTAAAACCAGCTTCCTTTGTTCCTGTGCTCATGGATCAAAAGCAAAGTTGTTTCCTCAGTCCACTGATGAATTGATGATGGTGATATCCTTCCATCCAGTGTTGCAAGATGATGCTCTTGGCAGTTTGCGCTGCTCTGAAAACCCATATAGAGTGTTCAGTAGAGAATCCACATTGTTGGAATCTACCCATTTAAATAATTTCTATCCCAGAGAAACAGAGCTAGGACCAGGTTGATTCTGATGGACACTTCAGCCCAATCTACTTGATGTTTATGTTTAAAATGTAAATATTATAAAATTTTAAGATGCAATATGTATTGCAATAACCAACATCAAACATTGTTGTTCAGTCTAGGTTCATTTAGACTGATTGGATCAGTTCAGAGCCAATACTTGATGTTTAACATTCTTAGTTGGCATAAATGGGCTCTACTGCCTCCAGAGTTTATCATTTTAATTTGGTTTTGAAAGATGTACTGAATTCTTGAAGAGCACAGCACACGTGATAAATAAAAAGACAGTTTCCTGCAGTCTCAGCCAGGCCATCCTTTAAGACTGGCCAAGGAGCTTCTTTTGGCTGAGGAGGGCCAGAGCTACACATGGTGCTTATTATAAATAGCCAGTGTGAGAGTGTCTTGGGGAGGAGAAAGAGCTGATCTGGAGTGGAACCTTGGCACGGCTTTAGGCCTTTGTGACCTCATATGGTCATCATCCAGATCAGCCCCCCCCCCCCCGAGCCTATTTGCACATGGCGGTGGGAAGGGAAAACTCCCATTCTGTCAGAGGGAATTGCTTGCAGAAATGTGCACATTAGTCAACGCTGCATTAAAAGTGTGTTTGTTCGCATTGTAATGCTGGCAAACATTCGTGAGGATTAATAATAATGCAGAAATGTGAATAACTGAATTTAAGATTGGAAAATGAGAAATGGTGAGAACTGAAATGGACAGATTTGTCTATCTACCAAGGACCTTGTTGAGCAAGATGGAAGTATGGCTCTTCCATCGTCTTCCAATGCACTGATTGTGGCACTCCCAGGGACACGGGTGGCGCTGTGGTCTAAACCACTAAGCCTCTTGGGCTTGCTGATCAGAAGGTTGGCAGCTTGAATCCCCACAACAGGGTAAGCTCCCATTGCTCTGTCCCAGCTCCTGCCAACCTAGCAGTTTGAAAGCATACCAGTGCAAGGAGATAAATAGGTACCACTGTGGTGGGAAGGTAAACAGTGTTTCCGTGCCCTCTGATTTGCGTCCAGTTGTGCTAGAAGCGGTTTACTCCTTCTGGCCACACGACCGAGAAAGCTGTCTGTGGACAAACATCGTCTCCCTTGGCCTGAAAGGGAGATGAGCGCCGCAACCCCATAGTTGCCCTTGACTGGACATAACCGTCCAGGGGTCCTTTACCTTTACCTTACCTTCTGGCACCCCCACCTTTGGAGGTAGGATGAGCAGGGGCAGCCCTCTCCAGGCATATTCATCAAGTTCTAGAAAGCTATTGAAAGAACCAATGGTCTGACTTGACATGACATATCTCTGAAATATTTGCTTTCGCACATCCCGGTGAAGGCTGTAAATGCACCAACTAACCTTAAAGCAACCTGAAATTGGGGATAAAGCCCCAGCAGGAGGATGGGTAGCTTGTGCTCCTTCCGTTGCTCTTGGACTACAGCTTCCACCATCCCTAACCATTGGCTGTGCTTGCTTGGGGCTGATGGGAGTTGGAGTCCAACAGCACCTGGGGAGTTGCTGCTTCCTCATCCCTATCCCTAGGGGCAAACTTTCTGCATTTTTCTAGTGCTTTTTGCTGAATTGCTTATGCTGTGCCTCACGCACAGATGAGCCCTCTCATTCTTGCTTGCTGCTCTTGCTGCTGTTTTCTCCTATTGAGCAGATTTATTTTGCAAGTCAGGACAAGGGGTTTCTATCAAGCGCAGCAGACAATGACTCAAAAAAGCAAGCTGTGACTTTTCTTTTTTTAGTTTAATCTAGACTGTGGAAAAGCAGAAGCCAGGTGGTTTTGAGAAGAGTATGCAAAAGGGGCAGAGGTGGGGGATGTGTGAATAACCACAATTAGCATATGTTGGTCATGCTGCCTGATAATACACAGTCAGCTGGAAGCACTAAGTCAATGCTGCAGGTAGCCTTGCACACCTCTGCACCAGGTGAGTGGCTCAGATTTCCCATCC